AAAAACTTTTGGCGCAACACATACAAAAGGAATGAGCCAACAAGAACACAAGCAACACAAACACTGAAAAACCAACGCGACGCAATGGTGTCAGCCTTTACTAAAATGCTCGACAACAACAAACCACCAGAACCACTGCCAAAGAAACCAGATGAGGATGACAGCGATGAAGAAGAAAAGAAGTTCAAACTGACAAAAATGAGAAATAATGCTACACAACGGCGCTACAATAGCAGATATCATATTAAACTTATCACACAGCACAATTGCAACAACAATAAATATTGCAGATTTAGTTAATCAGATAACAGCAGGAAATGCACAAAGTAGCGGTAGCAATTCATCAAATGAAGCTATTAGTGTTCATAGTTCTCCACCTATTACTGTTCATAGTTCTTCATCTGAAAGTCCAACAGAAATACCAGCACCAACTGAAGACGAAGATTCAGAAGAAGAAGAAAACCAACATTTCAATTTTGAAAAATTAAAATCTAAATAATATTATATATAATGGGTATTGGTCAAAGTAAAAATGATGCAAATAACAGTATGGAAGACATTAAGACTTTAAGAGTAGATGAAAAAACAAGAGCAGATACTTTAATAATAAAATCTATTCAAGAATGTGTGGCACGAATTGAGAAATTAGAAAAAGAAAAATCTGACAAATTAATATATAAACTTCCTGCTTTACAATTTTGCAATGCTTCGTTAATTTAAATTGATAATATTAAAACATAATTAATATTATTAATTGCTATCATAATCTGTCATTTCACTTTCGGGTAATTTTGTTGAGGCGTTGCTACACATATCATCTATTAAATCTTCTTCATCAACAAAATTATTTTGAAATCTTAATAATTCCTCGTCTGTTGCCCTTCTTTTCAATACCTTATAAAGTTTATGTATCCAAGAATTAGTATGAAAATTATAATTACCTCTACGATAAAATCCACCACATCTACATAGTTTCATTGGCATATTATGATATTATATTAAGTTAGAATATCTTTATTCATCATTTGTAATTTGAAATGCCTGTTCAAAATTGATATGAAACATTTTGTTAATGTCTTTTGAATTCATATTCACGTAGAAAAAGGAATATGGAGCAAAATTAACGGCTTGATGATACATATCTAATAATTGCTGTTTGTCAACAATGGCGCTATTTTCTTCAATAAAACTCATTAACTCACTGGCATTTTTCAACCTAAAAATATATAATGAACTCGCATTCAAACGAATGATAGGCGCTAAAACATTGTATTTTTGTGTTGAACAAATCACACTTACTGCATCGTGCCTGCCTCTTGTAAATAATCCATGTAATAATTTACTATATCTAACAAATTTAGGGTCGTCTGCGTGGTCATCTATCACAATTAATATTGAATGCAGTTTCTTTATCTTTTTGGATTTCATATAATTAATTATGTTCTTCTGTCTTTCAATTACATTTTCTAAATCACTTGGATTATAATTATCAAAATAAATTTGTTCTTTTTCATCATCCACGTGCAATTCATCCCTGATATATTTTTTAACTTCTGTAAATGTAGGGTCGTTATGGACACTGGGTGAAAATATAAATATTCTTGCGAATGAATTTCTATAAACATTCAATATTAAATTTTGAATAAGGACAGTCTTCCCGCCCGTTGAACTCGCGACTATAATACTTCTAAATGGTAGTTTTGGCACGTGCTCATATTTAGATTGTTTGAATTCATATTCAGTTATGTTTATTGGTTTTATTATTGGAACATCTGACATAGTTGATATTAAAGAAATATAGAAAATTATATTTAAAAATTAACTTGTAATTATTATTAAATGGAACATCATTTTTATGATATGCTGGTGGCGAATATCATAAAAATGGAACAGGCTTTTCCATTGCTTCAATCAATAAGCATTGAAGCTAATTAGTTTGTATCTCGCTCGCGTGTGCAATGAAAACCCCAAGTGCTGTGCCCTCCGAATATTCTATCATGCATGAAAATAATAAGATTAAATAAATATTTTATCTTATTATTTATATGACTATTATCCATTGCAGTTGTGGTAAAACTTATGATGACAAATATTTATTTAAACATCTAAATTCAAAATATCATCAGAAATTTGTAGAATATAGATGGAATAAAGACGATACAATGAAAAAACTTTACAAGAAAAGAAAGACAGAAATGAAAAATAATTTATCTTATTATTTAATATGAAAAGGAGTTATTCAGATTATATTAATATAATAGATGAAGTAGAGAATATAGAACAAGTAATAATAACTGATAATAAAATTAAGAAATGTTGTTATTATTCATTAGAAATGATTAAGTTTGTGATACAATATATCAAAAATAAAAATGTAAATATTAATATAAATGGTGAAAAAGAAAAAGAAAAACAAAAATAAGACAGGTTTAAGTCTATCTTCAACAGATGAAGATAGCGGAGAAATTGTTAAAGAAACAGCAGTAATTGAGTTTTCTTGTCCAATGTGTAAAAAGATGTTAGAAATGAAAAATGAATTAGAAATAAAAAATAATAAAAATTGTAAATGTTCATGTATTCCAACAACTTTCAAAATAAGAAAAAAATGATAAGAAAATGAATATTGATAAAACTAAAGACAGTATAAATCTGGAAACGGATGTTCATAATATAACTTTTAAATTTGGTAGGCAAGCAACACCATCCGATAATAATGAAAACGAAACACAGGAAACTGTTAAACAAATGATGAAAAATTAGTATTTAAAGAGTAGATTCAACATAATTGCACTTTATAAATATATAATTAAATAAATAATTATCTAAATAAATATATAGTAATGTCTGAAAATGAAAATTATACTATTAATGATTTAATGAAGCAGATAACATTAATTGGTAAAAATATCAAAAACTTAAATGATATGATTAAATCCATTGATGACAAAATGAAACCAGTTGAACGCGAACAACAAAGCAACGAAGAGAAGGAGAAGATGAATAAGATTTTTGAAAAGAAAGGGATAGGCAGACCTAGCGGTGATTATGATACCAAGCGTAAAAAATACTGCGATATGTTAAATAAGGGACAAATCAAAAGTCCAAAAGAACAAACATTAGAATATTATAAACTAATTAAGGGCGATGATGATAAATATGTAATGGTTGGAAATTAAAATCTAGATATTTCTAATAATATGAATTTATTAGAATTATTTAGCAACAAGACCTATATAAAATACCTAGTAGTTTGATATTGGAAACTGTGATGAGTTTGACAGAAATCGGGGGCATGATTTTGATAAAATCGGGGAATGATTTTGATAGAATCGGGGAATGATTTTGATAGAATCGGGGAATGATTTTGATTATAACCATGCTATGATTATAACATGTAAAATATTATATGTTATAAGTATATTCCAATATTTAATTTTATTTCTTGTAAAAAAGTATTTAAAGAAATAAACACTATATATATATTATAATAGAAATGGAGTTTCAACAACTACCAGTTGAAGTTATTAATAATATTATGTCCTATAAATATGGCAAGCCAGAATATATGAAAATAAAGCATAATCATAATGAAACATTGAAGAGAATACAAAGAAGATATAAAATTGACAAAACTGACATAGAAAGGGAAACAAAGCACTGTAATAATTTAGATGGTGATAAAGTAAAGAGACAAATATGTCAATATTATGTTTCTAGGAAGGTTCCATTAAGCATTGAAAGTATTGAAGATATAGTTATGGAAGAAGGGAATGAAATAGATAGCTTAATAGATAAGTATGCAGGATATGAAAGTTATAAAGCAATAATAATAGTTGATATAATTTTATGTGTAAGGTTTCATCATTTTAATTATTTTGAGGATGATGAATATAGCAGTTATGGTTTTGATTTTCATAGTGGTAGACACTTAATGGGTTCTATAGACCAAGATAATATAACTGATGTAATGGAATACGCAGTTGCAACAATATGTAGAAATATTGATAATGAAAGGGATACAATGAATATTGTAGGAGTAAAACACATAAGGTTTATACTAATTATTGATGAACCTGAATAATAAAACCATACTATGATTATAACATTTATACCCTTATATGTTATAATTATAGTGTAAGTATAGCGTTTTATATATTGAAGATAAAATCCTACAAGGTGGGCCATGCGCAACTCCGGAATATCCAAATTTTGAAAAATGATTAATTATTTGTCTTCTCATTGAATTATTGAAAATGTTGTTTCTTATTGAATAATTCTTCTTAAGATGCTATATATATTTATCTCTTTTGAAAAAAATATATTTTCTAAAATATTTTGGAAAATGTGTGTTTTTGAAAATAGACATGTTTAGGTGTATTGAATTTTTCAAAAAATAATTCAATTTTTGTTTTGGTATGCAGTACTAAAAAAATATTTATCAAAATGTGTTTAGACTGTTTCAAAAAATGTTTTAAAATGGCTGTTTTGAGGCGCTTATTCAAAAAATGCAAAAAATCCTAGGGTGGACCCTAGACTTTTGAGTCCGAAAAAAGTTGCGCATGGCCCTACCTAACTCCAAGTGGATCAAACCCAAGGTGATCCCTGGCTCAAACCTCAAGGCGATCCCAGAGTAGAGAACCTCAAACAGAATGTGGTGTTCCTTTTGGTGTCCTTTCAAACCACCCCAAAACAAAACACTTCCCTAGGAATCTTCAGCATGATCATTGGGGCTGCCGGCCGCCAAATGGGTTTGTCTCAAAATTGGGGCCCACTGAGCCTCTTTTGACAACCACTCCCAAACATTCCCAAATTGAAAGACTACAACCACCGCATCAAGGGTATCCTCAAAGCAAAGCAAACCGGGCAGCGCCTAAAACCAGTTTAACTGCTGGGTCCACCATGGTTGTAGAGGTTTATCTAGGCCTTGCTAAAGCCCCCATTCAACCAGCCACTAGAACCACCCAAATTCCAAACAAAAACGCGCGCACTGGCCGAGCGGCCATCTTTGTCAGCGAGGTGCCTCCAAACTCCTGCGCTGGGGTCCGGGGGTTTGGAGGTCCAAATCCCCCAAAGCCACCAGTCCAAACCATCAAATTGGGCTTGCCTGTTGACCTTCGAAGCTTCTTTTGGCAAACAAAAAAAGGGAGAGTTGGTGCAGGAAACCACCCTGCCCGAAAAGCCCCTCAAATTCGGCTGCTTGAGGTCATTGTCGATTGCCAGTTTTTTGGGGAAACGAGCCTGTTCCTTGTTCGCCAAAGTCAGCCTTTGCTAGAATTGGGACAAAAGCAACCACAAGCTGAATCAATTTACTCCTCGGAAAGTCGCCTCTCCTTGTTGCAGGACAAAGATCAACAACAAATTCAACCAAAACGAAGAGAAACAAAATGAGGCACAACTGCAGCTTTGAAAATGGGGGTAGGTATGCAGTGACGCCTTGAAGAGAGGCGACTCCTACAAAGAGGGCAAGAATGCGAGGCAGCTGGGAAGTTCCCACTCTTGGTCACTGCTAACCTAAATTATCTCGGTTGCTTTCTGCTCCCCTGCTAAAAGTTCAACCTTTAGTGGCTTGATGGAAAGCCCATTCGTTGGCAAAAAAATTAAGTCCTAGCATCCAAGCAAAATGCACCAAGGTTATGTTCACGCTAGACAATGCGGAGAAGATTCATAGTTGCACCCTGCACCATTTACACCCAACCGGGAGCTACAAACTACTAATCATGGTGACCTGGTTCATGGACACAAACTTTAGCCCTTCTGCGTCGAAGCCTCTCTCCCACCTCCCTCCCTGAAAATAATCGTGAAACCCGGTACGAAGCGGTTCAGGAAGCGGAAAAGGCGCTCCATGACCAGCCAGATGTCGCGCTTGGTTTCCACAAAGTCCAAAAGCTTCGCGATGTGCGCGATGCCTCGGGCTACACCGGCGATGGTTCCTTTCCTCTCGCATAGGGTCTCAAGCAAAGATCCGTTTCAGGCAGGATGTACCTCTTCTGTCGGCCTCAGCTTTAAGTTCAGCGCGCCCAACTAAGACAGGGTTGGATGTACCATGCCCATCATGTTCGCAACAACTGGGCCGTGGTGGCTGCTGGAGTTCAAGTCGTGTTGTGTTTAAATCTGGCGCTTCCAGAACCGATGCTTTTCCACACAGAAAGAGCCATGCCAAAACCCTGCAAGCAGGTGAGATGTCTTATGCTCAGGTGAGTTACAATCAAAACTTATCTACATGATCTACCCAAACCCAAAGAATCGGAAGGGCATATGTTCAGACCCATTAGGTGTTGTCTCAAAATCGGATCGGAACCCAAAAAATGGCGACGTTTTCCGTTGGGGTTCTCTTTGCACCAACCCAAAAAAGGGTACCCTCACAAAAGACTCACCCCCGGTTTCTGGGTCCATCTCCTGACCTTCGCCAGCCAAAAGGTGAGGTTGGGTGTTTCTCTTCAGTGTTTTGGTGTGTTCTTGGGAACCCCGTCTTGGCCACAACAAAGTTGTCCCAAACCCACAAGTCACCCAAAGAAAGGCAACAGGCTTAAGTTGCCGTCCTTGGGCTCTTCTGGAGGTTCAGCCCCGAAAGCCAACACGGCCCCGCCGTCCGCGCCTGGCGACTTCTTGACCGACATCTTCGGCTCGCCGCCGGTCTCGGCATCCCGAGAAGAAACATGCCAGTCAGCGAGCATCAACATCCATGACTGGTTCCCGACCCAAGCCAAGCTATGTGTTTAAAGGGTCTGCAAACATTTAAAGCCGCCCGTCCCTTTTTGGCTTCCGTCTCGCCATTGGCTTGTGCAATGGGCGCGTTTGTGCACCCAAGCGATCCAAAGGCTGACATCCAAGGCTGGTGCGTTGAAGAAGTATGAGCCGAAGAGGATCTCCTTCCGAGCCGCCTGGCAAGCTGTGTGGAGATCTTGCGCTGCGGCATCCGATGAATGCGCGTATAAATACATATGTATATCTCTCTCTCTCTCTCTCTCTCTCTCTCTCTTCAGATATATACATCGTCACCCCCCCCCCCCGCCTATATATACATGGACGCACAAATGTGCGGTGGATGGACAAAAACCTGCAGCAATTGGGATGGATGAGAGTACCAACCGCAGGATTCTGTCCGTCCGCAGGATCGCGACATATGTATATATATGTATATATGTGTGCCCCCAAGACAGACAGCCAGCCAGAGACAAGACAGCCGGATGGATGGATGGATGGATGGACGGACGGATGGATGGATGGATGGATGGATGGAAGTTATGACTCAGGTCTGAGATGCGCTTGATAGTGATCCTAAACTAACCCCAACTACATTTTCAAGGGGTTGAGGCGTGTGGGCATCCTGATCCCTAAGCCCGGGGTGTTGCGTTTGGTTTTGGGTGTTTGGCGCGTGGCTTGGCTTTTGTCGCGGCGTCACGTTGCGTTTTGGAAACTTTGTTTGCGGGTTGGTAACTTGTCGAAGAGCTTTAGTCGGCGCGTAAGACTCAGGGGGGGTTTCTAGTCGTAGGGACAACCCTGCGTCACTAGCCATGAAGTTGGCTGGCACTACACGAGCTTGGATGGCTTAGTACCTGCGAGTGCGACCCTCCGCCCTTTCACTTTGACCTTTTGGCTCCTTGACTCTTCGACCTTCTTCAACTTCTCGAACCTGCGGTGCGGCGCTCTTCGAGCCACTGCGCCCAACCACGCGCCTGCTAGGCAGAGTCGCCTTCTCCAGGTCGGATTTTTGAAGATTTTTGATTCTGGAAACTCCATCCACAGCACGCTCGCTATCAGCAACATGCCTTCCACGCAGGCAGTTGCACGCATCTATCACATTCACTCGCGAGTAGATGTAGCACAACGCAACCTCTCCACAAAAACACTGATCTCTCAGGATTCTGCGCAGTGAGAGCTTCTCAAGTCCATGCTGCAATGAAATTCGACAGCCTGCCTCTTTGCTGGATCTTACTCACAACCATCTTCGCTAGGTCCGAGCCAGCTTTCAAGGCTGGAAGTCTTAGAGACAACCCAGCGCCAGCCAAACTGCAGATGCGAATGGGAATACATCCAATTCGTCTGCGGTCGCCAGAGGAGTTCGCAATGGCGCGAACCTCAACAGAGTCAGCTGATCTTTGCAGCTGCTGGGAATGGAGGTTTACAAAAACTCAAACCCTGGCATCGGCAATTAACTCCAACATCCGACGCGAACAAATGTTTACCCGCATCGCCTTTCCTGGGTAGGGTCAATTGTTGCTATGTGTTGCCTGCGTGGATGACCCACACCTTCACGCTATGACTCTCCCACACCTTGACACTTCACGCTTGCAAGGTCTTCTTCTTCTTACTGGATCCAACCTCTGTGGGCACATCTTGACATTTGCTACATTGAGCCAGAGGAGACAAGCGTTGCCCAAACCAACCTTGATATTCCAGGACCTCTAAAAAAGCAGGCCTCTGGATGACTTCCATTGGAAAAACGGAAGGGCCAACAAATTTTCTGGGACCTTGGAATACCATGGCAACATAAACAAAAGCCAAAAGGAGCTAAGCGGTATCCTTCCAACAGCCCTTAACAAGCTCAAAATCGGGAAGGGCGCTCGCCGACTTGCTGAGGCTTTTGGAAGACCAGTCTCCGTGAGCTTGAGATTGCGCCAGAACCAAGAGTTTGCATCCCATGGGGGCCCTAGAAACATCGAAACAATGGCTTATCCAAAAACAGCAACCGAATCAGCAATCTGCAACGCGATGTCGGCGACGACGTGCAACATGTGTAATACAAACCATTTGCCAAGTCTTGCCGAATGCTGCAATTTGTTGCAATATGGCAAGCAACTATCCACTCTAACATGCTGCTCGCGAATTCGGATCGCCAACCGATTGTCGAACAAAAATGAACATAGGACCAACAAAGTCTGGCGATCCGGGAACAATTTTAGCGCAAAATTCCGCAAATTGCCGGACTGAAACTTTAAGCGCGGCGGCCCCAAAATGGATTGGCGACCCGGGATAACACAAAATATCGCAAGCTAAAAGGAAATGACGAAACTCGCGAACGCCGGCAACTGCGAGCAAACTTGCGAACGCCGGCAACTGCGAGCAAGCATTGAGGAAGGCAAGCGGCGTGGCGTTTTCTATTTTTGCAGCTGTTTGCCAATCTTTGTTGCCGGCCGCGGGCTTTGAGGACCAGCGGCAAGGCGCCAAGCTTGCGCCGACACTTCTTTTGCAAGGGCGGCCTCAAGGTGCTCCTGTCCAAAAAGGTTAAGCCGCTGCAGCTTGCGAGCCTCGCGCTTGCTGCCAGGAACGGAAGGGAAGTACCTGGGGATTACGCCGGAATTGCGAGAAATACGCGGAAATACGCGGGAATTACGCGGGAATTAAGCGGGAACTAAGAATTGCGCGGGAATTGCGCGGTAATTCCGCGGAAATTGAGCGGGAAACTTAAGCAGGAATTACTTGGGTATTAAGCCGGAACTACGCGGGTATTACGCGGGAATTCAGCGGGACTTCTGCGGGAACGTTTCCGTCTTTTCCTGACTTTACTGTTTCCTGCCCTTTTCTGTCCTTGTTCCTGCCTTTTCCTTACTTTTTCCTGCCTTTTTTGTTTCTCTCCTTTTCCAGTCCTTTTCCGTTCCTGCTTTTTCCATTCCTTTTTCCTGTCTTTTCCTGTCCTTTGGCTTTCGTTTTCTGTCGGTGTCCTTTCCTTTTCCTGTCCTTTTTCCTGTCCTTTTTCCTGTCCTTTTTCCTGCCTTTTCCTGTCCTTTGTCCTGCCTTTATCCTGTCGTTTTTCCTGTCCTTGTTCTTCCTGTCTTTCTGTGTTCCTGTCTCTTGTCGTGTTGAGTTGTTGTTTATCTCTAATTGTTAGCTTCTGTGGGAGTATGTATTTCCTAAGCGGTGTGTGGCCACCTTCCCTCAGATAGAATGATTTAACGATAGATAGATGAACAAATAGATAGACAAATAGATACACAGATGGATAGATGGATGGACAAATGGATGGATAGATTGATGGATGGATGGATAGGTGGATAGAAAACACAACAAAAGGATAGTACGATCGAACGATCGATCGATCGATAGAGAGATAGACGGATAGAGAGCTAGGTAGCTGGCAGGTAACTAGGTAGGTAGCTGGGTAGGTAGGTAGTTGGGTAGTTGGGTAGGTAGGTAGGTACGTAGGTAGGTAGGTAGGTAGTTAGGTAGGACCATCATGCCCAAGGATTGAGGATTGATTTTGAAAAACCAAGCTGTGGGGAAACCCACAGGCCATGGATGCGAAAGTAAGCGACCTTGAGAGGGCCGGGTGAAATGTCAGCGGCACGTCCTGCGCGAGCCGAATAGCAGGACGTCATATGTGCAAGCAGATGTCATTGGACTTGAAATTCTATAGCAATGAGGTTGCAAACACAACTGATCAAATGGTGTAAACAGCCGATCCAGACATGGCTCGGGATCTTCTCACTGCCTCTCAGGCGGCACTGAGAGATCTCGATTTCTGTGGGGGAGCTCTGAGCACGTTCAACGAGCCCCACTGGCTGAGCGACACACGCATATTTGACATAGGGACATGACCTTCCAGCATGCCAAGCCTGCATGACTGGCGGGGGCATTGTTGCTCCCAGATTGGCTTGTACTGATTCTTCTTTGAAAGTGGTGCAGCCAACAAGAACGCCACCATGCAAACAAACAATCGGCCTACGACTTTTCGAAGGGTGCCAAGAACAAGCACAGTTCAACAACCGGTCAAACATTCCCACCAGAGTTTCCCCACAACAAGCTATTGACACCAAAGTGGGCCGCTCACAAAAAAAGACCTGTCAACAACTTTCCGCATGTCGCGGTCCGCTCGGTGCGCCTCCGTATCAGACTTCTTTTTGCCGGTCGTACCCTTGGCAACCTGAGGCGGTGACCCCCGTGTGGGGATGAATCTGGGCAAATCACTATAACTTACAAACTGGAAATAAGAACTCCCCGGATAAGGCACCTTCATCATGGGTGAGCTCATTCTCCTTGCCTCACCCCGGTGAGCTCGCTACAACTCTATAATTTGACCAGATTAGCTTCATGATTGCGAAAGTTGACTAGACTCGACGTTGTGCGCACGTTGAGTCAAAGCCAGCTCGATCGCGGACGTGATACATCGAGCCAGTCATCCGATGGTCCAGCTTTATTTCTGCCCTAGCACGATGTTCATCCTGTTCGTGGGAAAGGAAAACCAGAAATCATGCTGGACCTGATAGGGGTGCTACTGCATAGAGCTGCATACTTGTATGCAGGCTTGTAATTTAGGAGAAAAAAATACATCAGTCCCCTTTTTCCACCATTGTTTGGCTTCCAAGTCTGCGCCCTACTGCGAGCCCCGCCTGCTTGATCGCCACGGGCGTCCTCGACCCCATGGGGGTTGCTAACCACACCACCTTGGCGCTTTCTTCACCCGGCGCACGTCAGACCCGTTCACCCGGATTTGCGGCCGAGGAAAATCGAGTAAATTTCGCCGTGAAAGCTACTTCGTACAAGCATCAAATGATCCAACGGCAGGTCTCAACGGGAACCAGGCATCACCATCAGCAAGTAGGACCCAGTGATCACGTTGACGCTTCGCCTCTTTGGGACGTTAGAGTTGGAAATGCCTCGGGAGAACAAAAAAAGAACTGAGAGGTTCACTGGGGGGAGCTCCCAGAGAATCGGAGAATCCAACAGATCGATTCGCAGACATCGGAATCGGAATGCGCGCGGCGTGGGTTTTTGCTCTTCGCACGAACGCGAAGAAGCGCTATCGCTTGGGAGCTCATAGGCAGAACAAACGACCTGCTTTTGAAAACCACTTCAAGCCAGGGTTCGGCTACCCCCAAGGCAGACTCAAACTGAGGGTGGTTGATTCCCTCAGAAGGAAAACCCTGGGCCAATGGGTTTGGGTCTACCCCAAGGTCCAAAAAAACACGGCACCCCGCTTCAACCGCCAAAGGGCACTCACCTCACCTCGGGGCTCCGGGCAGCGCAGGCGCCCCGGCCCAAGAGGTGGGACTTCTCGTAGCCTGGCCGGGTCCCTCCCCCCAGCTTTTCGGGACCTGCGACAGCAAAGGCGCGGCTGGGGAATTTATGGACGAAACAAAAGGGGAAACCAACGGAAAATTAAGAAAATCTAGGGAAAGCAAGGAAAACCAAGAAAAACCTGTTGACGAAATATGGACCAAAGAGGTTTCGATAGGGTTGATTCAAAGGTCTTGTTGATACCTCTTTGGGGTACGTACGCGGAACCGGCAAAGAAACAGCCCCTTGCCATTTGTAAGTGAACATATCTCAGGTCAAACAGAGCTCCTTCAACGAAATATACCCAAAACAAAATCACATCTGTTGTCCAGCAACATCACAAGTCAGCCATAGAGATCTTTTCGATTTGGGCGAGATGATTCGATGAACCCTGTCAACCAGGATGAAACCTGAAACCAAACAATCCGACCACCGACGGTCACGCTGAGGTCACGCTGAGGGCGTCAAAAAATGTTCGACCAGAACGGACCAGAACGCTCAGTGCCTGCGTGGTGAGTGGTGGGACTTGCGCTTGCTTCAGGAATTCACTTTGACCATTCCAGGTAAAGCAACCACCCACTCCCCCCCCCCGTCCCCCCCCCCGCCAGCCGCCTGGCAGGAAGCGATCCGAGTACTCGGCGCAGTCATCCGTCTCCACCGGCCTCCCGTTCGCTCCACTTTGAACCCACCCAAGTTGTTACTTAGGCTAAATTCGGTCTGCCTGAGAACAATTCCCTTCAATTCAAAGCACAAAAACAACCAAGGCACACTCGGCCAAAGCAGGTTTGTTGATCAATCGGTATTCAAACCCGGCTTCATCATCCCACAGAATCGCTTGACCCTGAACTACCTGTTGGACAACCATTGAAACATGCGCCCGGGCACCTGCACACAACCCAAACAAACAGATTATTTTTGGGGGGTGGCATCCAGCCTCTGCACTGCTGCTCCTCGCTGCTTCAGCGCGAGGCGGTCCGAGTGGCAGCCTAAGCGAGTGTGTGGGTGTTCTCAAACCGCCCAACCTGCACCTGGCTTAGAAGGGAAAACCAAAGGAAAAACCAACTCGTTTTGGAAGGGCCGCCCATTTGTACACAAATGATGTGCTCTTTGCGAACCTCACTGACACTCGGCAGTCCCTGTGCGGGTGCGGGTGGGTGGGGGTGTCAAACAAACTCTTGAAGCCTCCAAGAACATGGGAGCTTTCCAAAGTTCGGGGCAAGAGACTGCATGTACTATATGCCTGCTCAGAATCGCGATGGCTTGTTTCATCCATGTGAAACTTTTCCGGAAATACCGCCGGCATTGAGTCATGGCTTAAACAACCAACAGTCTCTCACCTGGGAACTACGTTGATTCCGTCGGTTCAAAGCCACTAGGCCAAAGCCGGAATGATCAGGAAGGGTTGCTCCTCACAGCACTAAAGGTAATGAGGTTGGATGGCATCCCCAGAGCGCTCATGTCTTCTGACCTCCGATTGCATGTGGCAAGGACTCATATTGGCCGCATCCATTTCCCGCTTGCCGGGTAACGTGGCTGCCCAAAGTCGCTTTTCTCTTCGAATGGCGCCACTGGCAATTAAAAAAATATGCTTCGTCCCTTTCCTTTCCTTTGCCCCCCCCCCAAACCAAAAAAAAAACTGACCTCTCGCTCGCCGGCGAAGCTCAACATGGAACCCCCCAAAAACCCGCCCGAGGAATCCCTTTGACCTTGGCGGGGAATGCGAGAGAAGGCCGAGGAACCGGAGAAAGCCGCGTTTCGGGCCATGTCGATGGAGCGCGTCCGCACCTGCGCGAAGCGCCCGAAGTCTCTTTGACAAACCACATGGCTCCTGGCCGGCCTATGGGCGATAACAAGAAGCAGGAAGACTAGAATTCGCCGAAAAATCCGGAGTCGAAAAAAGAATGTATGTTTTCTCGATTGCCCGGTCGCCCCAGTTCAGGATGTTGCCACTTTCGATGTTCGAGCATTGGACAGGAGATGTTGTTCTTTTTCCCCCCGGTCCAAGAACATCTGAATACACAACAAACATGGGCCACGTCAATAGTTTAAGAGCTGGCCCATAACCATGTCCCGTACTTCTTCTACTGAGTGCATCAACAAACCCTGGTTTCTGAAGCATGGTTCTGCAAACAGTGATGGAACACTCTTGGCCAAAAAAAGACATGATTGGGACTAGGCCCTGCAATGACATGTATAATCTATCCTGACAATAACCCAAGAAACGGCCTGATCAAATCCTGTGGCCGCCAACCAAACTGCTCCATCGCTTTCCAAAAACCCTGGGGCCCTGGGGCCCGTCCAACAGAAAATGCGAGGATCCCCTATTTTAAGGCACACTCACATACCACATAGGTACATGAAGGGTAAGTCACCAGATTTGGGTGAAACCCTTTCAATCAATGGTGTCTCTTTAGTTCTTATGCACCCAACAACAAGGGTACATTTTTTGAAACGCCACAAACACACAAACACGACACCCACCTACACACACACACCCACGCCGATGGCGCGCGCGCGTGCCCGCGCCTGCGCATTGGAGCGGGCTTCCGAGCCCCGATCCCCGCGGCTCGGTGCGCGCGTGGGGGTCCTGGCGAAAAAAGCGGACAGCGGTTTCGCGGGCGGCCAATGGAAGTTGTGAGAGAACACAAGGCCGTCGTGTTCAAATGTTTTAGACTTGAACAACTGTGCATATATATATATATATATGTATATATATATGTGTATATATATATGCATATATATATATATGTATATTTGTGTAAGCGGGCGCGACGAACAAAAGGCAGCCACCCCCCCCAACCCACCAGCAGCTTCCGACCAGCAACTGTCTCCAAGAAGGATCCCATGTCTTCGAGCTCAAAGACACCCGAGACGTACGAAAGCAAACAGAAGGCGAAGGAAAGAAAATGGCTCCAGGAGAAAGGCCGGGAACGGCTCCTCTGTCCAGAGGGTTTGTTCACTTTTTGGTTGGGTTCTAGGCAGTCGATGGGAGAAACAGAATGGATGTCCAGTATGATACTAGGAATATCCAGTGAACATGTTCGAAGGGTCCTATGAGGCCAGTAGCGCAACATGTGAGGAGGATTCTGGCCAAATCGCCAGAAGCAACTACATGGAATAAGGAACATATCCCTGCCCAGCTGTGAAGAGATACCCTTTGTGCCGCAAGCTTTGCACAAACCTTGGAACCGCGTTTCGGGACCTGAAAAGAAACCTCATCAGCCGACATACATGCTCGACGCAGGGTCAAAAAAGTCATGATCAACACCTGGTATTGGGTTGCTGTACCAAATCCACGCAAAGAATCAAAAGGACTCACCTGTTTCTGATTGAGACAGGCTCCATGTATCTCGGTTTTGATTATGGCTCATGATGAAATCAACTGCATAGCATCGCAGCTCAATATCCAGCAGGTGAGCATGCAGGGTGAGCAACCAATGGTCCCGGGGAACGCTATCAGCATATCGGGTTGATCAATATGTCATTTAGGGCCTCCAAAGTGAGCATGGGTATTTTAGCCATGTGGAGAACATCATCTTTTTGGGAGGTTTCCCACCCCATGTAAAGGACCTTTTGATCACCCCCCATATCCTCACGGGGAAATCCCTCCTCCGACCAGCACGGATGGTCAGAGATGTGGGTCTTTCAGAGGCCAAAAGCTGGGCCTACCTAAATGTAAACCTGATCTTTTCAGGGGCTGTTCAGAAGATCAAAGGAGCATGTCCAAATGCAGACCCATGTTCTTTATTTGAAGCCTGCAGTGTTGCTGCATGGTGGCTGATGTCTTTCAGGGGAAGCTCGGACGAGATAGAAAGACACAGAAAGTATGGCAAGCGCGACGCAAATATCGCACCACTCAAGCCATTACTTTTGCTACCATATCAGTTGCAATAACAAGACATGTGGAAAGATTCTTGCAGCCGCAAGGCAAACAAATGGCATTGCACTTTCATCGGCCCACCAGCCCGTCAAGATTCAAGCTCGTTGCATTCTGGTTGCATTGCCATCTTGACTTACATGCGTTCTCCAAGGCAAATGGCTGTGGCTCAAAATTAAAGAACTAGAGTTACGCAGGTTTTGGTCTTTGGTTCCACTTACCAAGGTTCCATTTTGGTACCGGTTTTTTGAGCCACAGCCAAATGTCTCCAATCTCAAACAGTGAGCTGCAACCGGGCAATTTGGATGCATGTTTCAAGTCTCCGAACACTTGAGACTCGCTGGTTGCCAGGCCCCGGCAAATGCTTTGCGCAAGCGATGCAATGTGAAAGACCAGCATTGGCTACTCTTCAGGCGAACAAATCCTTCCCAGGCTGTTCCCCCACACTCTGCTCCAGGCCATGGTTGCGGTGCGCTTCATAGGACGGTCTCTTGACGGCGCTTTCAGAATACTACCCCAAACAACAAGGTGGTTTGACCCTGGCAGAAATGAACCTGAAAGGACATTTTATGAGAGCACCACTTGTTGGATAGCTCTTCTGGAGAAACCAAGAGGGTTGACGGTCCATTTCGTTCTGTGGTGAAACAAAACATGCAACTAACACCATAAACCGCACGACCAATCAACAAACCCGCGTGGAACAACCCAGGGAATCCAAACCAGACCAGTGGCAGGGGCGAACAACCCACAAGGGGGAGAAAAAACACTAAGAGGGCTCCAGTGGGGTCCGTGCTCCCGTCGCCTGTACTCATCACGTGCAAACGTCCGAGCCGGCGAGCCGTAGCACCTGTCACGAACAGGGCTTGCGAAGTGAAGGCCTGGGGATTGCGGGAAGTTTAGCACGTTCCTATGACGTCACCAACGCCGTTTGCCAAGCGTGCGGCTCCTTCTTCAACCGCCAAAAGGCAGAGGTTCGAGGAAGGCTTCCCCTCGAGGATGGTCATACGATGCACTGTTAAAGTCGCATTTTAGCCACAGGCGCATCTGAAATAACAACTCTTCTCAAACATCGCAACGGACATGTCAGCTCATGTCTCTGTAGCGGCTACCTTTCGTCTGAGATATGAGCTGCGTAGTCATTTCTTTCATGTGTGTGCATGTCTATGTGTGCGTGTGCGTGCGTTGTGCTTGTGCCTACACACTGTTCATGGAACTTGGCACATGACTGTTTTTCTCGACCACGGGCACAACGCGTGGGTAAACTGCAAGAACTCAACCTGCAATTGGGATGCCAAACCAACAGGTTTCCATGGGACTTTTTTTAGCCCATGTGCCTGTAAGGTCATCTTTCAGTCACACTACACACGTTCAATTCACCTGCCCGCGGAGTCTCACGACTCTCACTGCTGGCCCCCGGCCTGTCTTCCTGGCGCTCGTCCTGGGCGGCCGGAGAGTTGCAGCCCTCTCTTCACCCCCCGGTGAAAACTATTTGGCCAGTCCAAAACCCGGTTACCCCCCAGTGAACATCCGATTCAATCCCAACTAAAATAGGTTCTAAAATGGGTGGTGAATTCACCTACCCCAAAATGGGGTCCCAAAACGATTTTGACAACCACAGCCATATCCTCGCAGCACCGCCGAAACCTACGCAATGCAGTAAATTGCGGCCTGGTTCAAGGTCCAAGCTTTACTCAACCACGGCGTACCGTTGCAACATCTTCCTAAGGCGCTTTGTCCTCTCTCCCTGGAGAGCTCTAAGTAGAAGGCCCTGATGCACAAAGCTTTTTGATCCTGATGCCCTCCCACTAGCTCTAAGGTGGCCCTGCGTGTCGCGCAAAACCCGCAGGGGCGTCAGTGTGCTTCACGGATTCGCAGCGCCAACAGCAACATGAATGAAGCCGGGAACCCCGGCTAACCACTCTGACAAGAAAGCCACAGCCCATCCCCTTCTGGCATTGCTCTTTGCATGTGACTCTGCATTCTCTTCGTGGATGGATTTGGAAGAACTCACACATGTTGAATATGGCCCCTAACAATCAAGGGAATGTTCGTTTCATGGTGAACGAAGATTGCACTCAAAAAGCATACCCTGCCCTCCAAGTTGTGGCACTGCATGTCCCATCCCGGCAGGGAAAATAGAAGGTTGCCAGGAAAGCCCCATGCCACCCAGACTTGACCAAAAGGTCTTTTGAATGGGGTGACCACTAGGGAAACCACCTAAATCAGGATATGACTTTCACCAAATGAGCAAAGTTATACTTGGTCATTTTGGGGCCCGAACTGGAATATTGATCCACCCCCTGCATGTCAAACAACAGCGGGCTGAAAGCAAAACGCAACTTATCATAGAACCACAGCTGTGATTTTGGGCCCCTAAATGGATTGTTGATCAACCCCCAAACCTCAAACAACAGCGGCTGAAAGCAAAACGCTTTCATCAAGGAACAGCTGTGATCGCAAGTCGTTCTGGCCCCCCGGTTGTCACTTCCAACTCTTAGCACCAGGCATTGATCAAAACCCGTGGCACCTTTTTCCACTTTGAAACCGCCCCCTTGCCGAGCTGCGGAGCTCGCACGCTCCGGCCGGTCCCGCGGCGCCGGCGCCGCGGCGGGGGCCTGAAGCGAGCGGAGTGGCGGAGGCGGTTTTTTTTAGTTGCGGGAAACAAGGGCAAAAACTGGAGGGGGTGTCCTTGTTCCCTTATGGCTCTGACCTAAGGCTCAAGTGGGTGCACTCTTTTGGACGCGTCTGAAAGAAAAACAAGGTAAATCTCTTGCGTTGCCCTTGAAGGAGACTCCACATACGCCTGTGTTGTGACAGGCACGGATTTCATGTTTCATGCATCTTTCAGAGCGCTCTCCTCAAGCTCTAGCGCAGCTTAGAACCGAGCTGGGCGTAAAACAAGACAACAGGTGAGCCGAAACAGAACTTGAGAGCCGCAAATCCGTTCGCAGATCTCAGAGCGTCCAAGTTGGCCTTCATGACGCTCGCTGGTGGGCCGCGATCTATGGATACCAATACCAGACTGAGCTTTGACTGAATCTCACGTGCTAGCCACTGCACGTGTCCCTTCACAGGCTGCTTCATGTTGAAAACTCAGCAACACTTAATACTCGACTGATTGCCAGTGGAAGCGTGTCTGTGCTTTCTCCAGGTGTTTTTTCAGGCTTCCGCATGAGACAGCACAAGTGTGTGTGTGTGTGCGTGCCTCAAAATGAGAGGAACCCCACAATGGGTGGTTCCCTCCCACCCCGAAAGAGCACTCCTACAGGCAGCTTGCAACCGCTTCTCGTTGAGAAGCGGCGCACAGAAGAAGCAAGATGTGGCCATGGGTCATAACCTATACACCAGAATTACAGGGTTTTGACGTACAGCCATGCGTTGCAAGCTCGAGGTTGTTTTGCCACGCAATGATAGCAACGGCTCGGGTCAACCACCCATCAGAAAACGGGGTGTGGGGCTAACTTTCACTTGCTGTAGCATTCCCTGTAGTTGGCATCTTAGACACACTAGTTTTACGAGATCTGAGCCCCCAACAACATAAGACGGGCGAGGGTTGGGGGATTAATAAACATGCTTTAAATATAGTTCATGTTTAAGTAAAAATTATGCTAATTCGCAATCATCGTAGTTCTATTAAAACATTGAAGTTCTGTGTACACATCGTCAATGGTGTTTAATGTTACCGTATTTTTGCCGTGACAAAGTCAATCTTATTGAAGATGCTTAATTTAGCAAACAAAAGAGAACAGCGGTCCTTGCAGTGTCCAGTCGTCAAAACCTGATACTCAACTGCTTTGCCCAGCGCGAAAAGCGTCAAAAGGGCGGCCTCATGCGGCTTTCTCATTGGACTGCGGCCCGGCCTCCATCTGGCCATGGGTCAAAATCCAAATCGTACCCCCAGTGAACATCCGATTCAATCCAACCAAAAAATGGGTTCTAAAATGGGTGGTGAATTCACCGAAAACCCCCAAAATGGGATCAACCACACGGTTTTGACAACCACAGCCATCGGCCCGGACTTTGATTGTTGGTCTGATCACAGCCCCTCGAGCGCACCTGGCACGAGCGCGGCACGAAGTTGTTCGCGTTGGCACCTGAGCGGACGCTCCCTTTTTGCGAACAAGGTCAGCGTGGGAGTCCGGAGAACAAAAGGAATACCCTACATTGAATTGTGGAAGACTTCCAAGCTAAACAGGGAACCACTGGTCTTCCGGATTCATCCCATCTTGAAATTCCTGGCTCTCAAGAGCGGCCTGGCCAAACCAAAAAGCTACGCGGGCTCGGGCCACGGCTCGCCGTCTGCGCCGCCTGTGGCAGGTGCAGTGTGACCTTTTCGGTGCGCCTACGAACTCGTCAACCAAAGGGGCTGCTCAAGAACCGAGGTCTTTTCACCGGTGAGAATGAACCTACCCCCATCAATCCCCCAGCAACCCGGGCAACTCGTCCGCAGGGAAGCACTCAAGGAAGAGCTCGCCTCTGGCGAGCGCGGGGGCGAGCGGCTGGGACCTGGCAGCAAAGGAAGTTGCAAGGTTTGCAGAGGGACGGAGGGGTCATCTGAAAGAGGGTCCCTCGGAAGATGAATCCCAAGAAATCCCCGGCAGGTCGCGACCTTTGCTTCTTGAGACGACAAAGGAAATCCAGCAACTTGTGTATGATAGCAAGAAAAATCCAGAAGTCGGGATACAGGAAATCCCGAAACGCAGAAAACACATGGAAAAGCTGGCAAGCCGACAAGCCAGCATTTCACCTCTGCGGCGTCCGGATCAAATGCTGTAAGCTGTTCCATGATCTGTGTCGCCTGGCTCAGTTGTGCTGTGGGCATGCTTTGGGGGCTGGATAAGCGAAAACAGCCTAGACGTCGGAATCCGCGACACGAGTGAGCTCTTTGGCCCTCCTCCACTGCTTCTGTCTCTGAAATTCGGGCTTGATCCAGCTGCTCGACCCAGCCGTGCCAGAAAATTGGATCGCGATCCAGAAGTTACGGACGGACCTCAAGACAGCAGAAGCTGGTTTCGCTTGGGACCCAACAAGAGGAATACCAAAAGTTGGAACCCCAGATAGGAAAAAACAAGAACCATCCTACTAGCAGCCGGGAAAGGTCACCCCAAAAAACATGGTGATCCGGAGATCCCCCGTTTTCCAAACACCTCATCCAAAATCAACCAGGAGCTTCGTCACAACCCGGGGGGTTTTCCGGCGTCCCAGCGGCCCGAGCCGCGCTTCGCGCCTGCTCGCGGCTCCAGCACCCTGCTCCAGGCCGGCGGGACGGGCGAGTCCTCCAGGGCGCTTCCCCGGATCCATGGAGGTTTGAGCGGAAACCCAGCGAAATGACCCTCCCTCCCAAAAAAAAACAAAAAAAACACCCAAAAAAGCCAAAAAAGCCAAAAAACGAGCTGGGATTTCGGGGGATCCGGGCTCCCGAGTGTCAAGATGGCCAGCGAGTGTTCATGGGTCCCGGACTCTTTGGTCATGTGGGGATGTCATGTCCACCCACTGTTGAAGCGATGTCACAGCCAAATTGGAAGGTGGACCTTTCCAAATGTTCCACTCGACTGACATCAGAAATCTTCAAGGGACCTTCGCTTGGTGAGCTCATTTTGCCGAAGCTCGTACCAGTCACTTGTCTGGCTCAAATCTTTGAAGCCTCTTGGGTGAGATCCTCGGTCCTTTTTTTCCAGCGCCCCTGAGATTTTAGCTGCCACGGTTCAAAACTACTGTGGGTGGACAAAATCCATGTCGCACCACTTTGAAACCATGGGACACTATTGTTTGTTGGTATTTACGGGGGAATCATCATTCAAGGGTTTCTTAGGCGGTGCAGGAACTCGTCCATCCACAGTAGGGTAACCCCAACATGGAACCCTGGTAAATGGAAACAAGCACTGAACCTGCGGTCCCTTGATGGCGGAAAATGTTGACCCGGCCCATACCCAAGTGATGTTCGGGGCACATCGTTGCCACACGGGAGATACGGGCGATACGAGTCTGCTCCAAGGATGCCGCCCGTTACATCGAGGAGTCGCACCCCTGAATCACACATTTTGCCAGGCTGGAATAAAGTCATGCGCGTGGCTTATCAGATCAACCATCCCCTTTGAGCTCAGAAAGGCTCACAGTCTCGCGGTCTCACAGCGTGCAAAGCACGCTGAGTGAACCAAACAGCACATGTCGCATCATACGGGGAGACATTTGTGGAGGTGAAGGTCAGGCGGTTCAAATGGGCAACCAAGAGTGCATGTTTCATTCTGGGGTTGCCAGAGGAGACACACCCACTTCAGGACCCTGCACGATCCGCCCACCACTGCGCGCCTGAGGCTGGTAAGGGCTTTGCACCTGAGGCGGCTCTGGTGACGCATTCGCCAGCCAAAAAGAAAAGAACGGGTCTGCTTCGGTGAAACGAGCCGACATTTCATGCGGAGCCTTGACTTGTGTCATGTGAAGAAAAAAAAATGCGCAGGCCTGGCAGTTGACCTCTTTCGTTTTGGTTGAAGCTCCGACGGGCGAGGTGGAAGGCTCTACTTTTCTAGCAATACCCTCCCCATTCTCTTCAGGGATCCTTCTCTTCAAAAAATGTCCAAAATTCTGGAACACGGGTTGTTTCCAAAGAGAACGCTGGGTGAAGAGAATGGGGAATCAAACCTTAGAACTTTGCTTGCCCCGAAAGTGACTACCCAGAGTCAGTGGTTCTAAATGAGTCGTCCAAGCGGCTTGTAGATGGGTTGCATCATCCAGGGTATGCGCCCAAAACCCAAATGAACAACCCTGTGTACAGGTGGCTTTGGGGCATGCAAGTGGCATCGTAGATTGTCGCATTGGGATCAAGAACTCGGGGGCACATTGCCAAACATTGCATGGCATGCCGTCCAAGGCTCTCAGTCATCAATCCATGGGGCAGCAGAAATCGTTTCACCGATCGACAGGCAGAAACAAATCGCCAACTTTAGGGCGGGGTTCTCTTGGAGAAAGACCAAACAGAACCACCCTGCAGGAATGAGGCTTAAGTGAAAATGAACCCTTTCAGAGACATAGCTTACAGGGGTATCATGTCCACCAACCATGTTTGAGACTATTTCCCACAAAAAGGAGTAGCCATATCTTAGCCCTGGCATGCTGCTCAGAGGTCGAGCTCCATGGTGAATCCACTCCAGTGGAGTACGTGTGCGGGCCGCGAGTGGAGACTCTGGACTGATTCCTTGGGGCAAAATCTGACGTGGGAACATGTCATACCTGGGTATCCATCCACCTATCCATCCACCCTGAGATTTGTCACCTGAGCCCACAAAAGTCCAGCCGAAAAAACCAACTCATGGAAATTGGTGCATTTCTTTGATACTCGAAACACGGCCTGTATTTCCTTGTAACGCTGCATATCCCAAGTGATGGAACTGGTCACGGACTTCCTACAGGATCGCACGGTTCTTTGACCAGGTCTGGCGGACACTCCCCAAAAAGGCAAAAATCGGCCTTTTGGCCGAATCAACATCCCGGGCCCCAAAGGATACCTTTCCCACTGGGCGGTGAAAGTCATCTTATTTCGTCGTGGTGTCCCCAGCGCCCATCCCATGTAAAGGACTTCTTAATCAAACTCAACTTCTCCTCAGCCCCAATCCGCAGTCCCAATCCCAAGCGTGTGAAAGAACGCCCTGTCACCCCCCAGCCTCAGTTGACTCAGTTGACCCCCACCTTTGGGTCCCACAACTCAAGCAGGCGGTGCCGGACCAAAAATCCTTTTTGTTGATTCTGGTCCATACCCAAAGATCTCATGGCCCCCATTCTTCATTGACGACATGAGTAGAGTTTATCGTTGGGATTACCCTCCCACCAATTCACATGGAACCCGTTTGGAGGCTGCTTCCCTTGTAAAGGCACCATGTCCCGAACGTGTGGTCTCATGTCAAAATCGCTGGTACTGTGGATGGACAAAATCCTGCACCACTTGCAAACCATGGGGAAACGTTTGTTATTGCTATTTACGGAAAGTCATACTTCTAAGGGTTTCTTAGGTGGTGCGAAATGGATTTTGTCCATCCACAGTAGGGTAGGTTTGTCTCAATAGCCTCCTTCTTATTCTGAGTCTGGGTATCTAAATAAAGATGAATCCACAATTTTACTTGTGACAAACCGAAATGACAATTATTACCCCAACAATGTTGCGTTGCTTATCTTACCCCAAAATTTAACCCCAACCATGTTGAAATATGTTGGGTATCATCTCCTTACCCCAAATATATACATATATATATATATATACACATATATGGAAAAAAGAAAAAGAAAAAAAGAAAAAAAACAGCTCCTGGCTCCCGGCCCCGGCCCAGCCGCCCTCCCCGCCTGGCGTGGCACCTCCAGGTCCTCCTGGCTGGCCGTCGCCTCGGCTTCGTTTTGGCGCGGGGCGGAAGTCGGGTCCGGTGGAGGTCCCGGAGGCCGAAGCGAAGCGAGAAGCGAGCTGAAGGCCAAGCAAAAGCTCAGAAGCTCACTTTTTGGGGGGGTTGAATTGGGGTGGAAGAAACGCACTTCATCTGAAGCAAAGCTTACTAAGGAGACATTCTGAAGAAAGTTCTGAGAACTTAGATTTGGGGGGCTTCTCTTTGAACCACGGAGGTAAAATTTGAGGTCTGGGGTAAGGGGGGTTCTGGAATACCCTCTTTCCAACAATGGAAGTGAACGTTTTGGAGCTTCCACGGGCGCTGGTCTTCCAAAATTCGAAAGATGCTAATAACAGATTTGTTTCACCGTCGTTCTGTTGAGAAGCCACCAACGTTCCCGGGTCTTTGCACATGTTGTGAAAAGCAGGATGCTGCATTGAAAAGAACAAGAAATGCTAGAAAAGGCAACTGAAGCAACCATGACACATTCAAAGTTCCACCAAAAATGGCGCATGATTCGGTCGTGGACATGGTGTGCGTAACGTGCTGTTTTGGGTCCAATGTGCGCTGTACCCTAATTTGTGAGCTTTGTGGCTTTGCTCGAGCAAGGCCCTTGCACTGGTTCCTGAAAATCGCAGCCCCGCGCAGAGTCTCTGGATTCGGGTGGATGCAAGAAGGCTGCTTCGTGGAAGCGTGCGAAGGCTCAGATGCTTTGAGCTGCCATGGCCGTTTCGCGGTGTCTCTTGAAAATCTTAGCGCCGGCCGGCCTCAAAGCCCACAGCTCCGGTCTAACATAGGGAGAGGCTAAGGCCCCTGCCTGTGGCGACTGGAAGCAGGAGCGATAGTACCTCATTTCAAAGCGACCAGCTGAGATGGCTTAGTGGAAACTACCACCAAAACCCATAAAAAAAGGGGGATGGCTGGGAGCCACCTGGGCATCCAAGTGTTTCCCAGCAAACTTGGACTCTGCTGGCTGCTTTGCACAAGTTGTTTCTAAACCAACCATGCAAAAATCAGTGTCGTTAACCCCCAAACTTGGGAGATGCTCCCCTGGTCTTCGCAAAGAATGCTGATCTTCGCTGCAGTCCATGTCGGTTCGCCATGGTTACATGGTTCGTCAAATAGCGCCAGTCACAACTCAAAAGAAAACAGCGTCCAAATGTGCCCCCTGATCAGCCTTCCACACGGAACATGTCTGCTCCCTCCGCGAAGCCGTGAAGCCCCACGAACACATCAAGCAATTGACCGCCAGCTACAAACGGAAATGCCACGCACGACTCTACCAGAAATCACGAAATGCAATCTTGCAAGGAACCACCGTGTTCGCCGTGTTTCTGTCCCTCTGGTGACTCTGGTGGGTTCTATCTTCGCAGACAATGGCAACCTAGGAGAAACAAGTGCGGGTGGCCTCATCAAAGAAGGGGATTCACTGTTGGTGGGGAGCACCCTATCCATGGATTGAAAATCGCATTTCTCATAACTGTGGCCCCTTTTCTTAGTTGGGAGTAGGGAACGGAACGCAAAGAGGGAAACTCTTGCCTCTTTCGGAAACGGACCAGATCTTGTTTCGAGAAACACGTCAGAAGCCACACACACCTAGGGACCGGGCGGTGTCACAGGGATCGGCCGGGGGGGGAGTCGCGACCTGAGCCCGAAAGCGGAAGGCGCTGCGCTGCTGCCTGCTGCGTCATCCCCTGCTTGTCTGCCCGCCCCGACGTCGCAACCCGTTTCGTTTAGTCATCCTCTTAACCCGCTGAAAGGAAATTGCACCATCTACTTTCACCCTGCTCACCCAAACATCAAAAACCGGACCCAATCAGCAAGCCATGGCGGGTCGGCCCTCAGCGCCGGGAAGCGGCCAGATCCCTTAGATCTTTGCAGCCTTGGGGCTTTATGTGCAGCCTGCCTCTTTCCAGACTCAGTCCCAGCTCCAGCCCTAAACTCCCCATCACAGGCCGCCCTGCGGCCAGCCTGAGCCTGCCATGCACCTCATTGGGCCAGCCACCTCGCTGGCCGGCCCGCGATGCTTGAGTTCAAGTTCCTGGCAATCACTTCCCCCTGCAACCCACCCGACTGCTCAGCCCAGCCCCGGCATCATTTGCTCAAGCCCACATTGCTCTTGCGGTTCTTTTGACAGCATCTACGATAAATGTACATGTATTCGCACAAACAATGTCTTTCTGTTGAGCGAGCCCTTTTTGGGTTGCTTTCAAAGGCAAATCAAAGGGAACCACACAAACCCGCATACTGCTATTTGGGAAAGCCACTCCGAAACCAGGGAGAATGAGGGCTCTTTGGATCAGGCCTCATCCGTGTCACGAGACCATGAAAGAAGGAAACTGGAACTTGAGAGCCCTACCTACTTAGACATTGAAGGTGGACTAGGTTTGCCGCCAAGCGCAAAATAAGCACCTGTTATGAAGCCAATTGGCTTGCAGTACATAGGGAGAAAACAATCATGCGTTTTCTGCGACGACAAACAACGAGTAGCACCATACTTCTCCTAGCCGTTCCGAATGCAAGTCGTGCTGGGACAAGCGCACGGTTCCCTGCTAAAGGGCGGGGACCCTGCTTTTTCCCACCCCCGACTTGTTGTTTTGGGCCCATAATCGAAACGGCAAAAGGGAGGTCACAAATCGGCTTGAAACAGAAGGCCTTGATTCAAGGACCCTTGCGGGATCCACTCATGCACGGCGCAGAAGCTTCTGGAGCCAATCAGTTGCCACTCTCTGCGCCACTCACTCAGACCCCGAGGACGGACGCTGAAGCGAGCCACCTCTTCAAGTACTTGCAAGGATCTAGACATCCTGAACCAGCCGGCTCTCCAAGAACAGGACTGTGTCAATACCGCTGTTTTTTTTTCAATATTCCATAGAACAAAGGCAAGATTTAAAAAACCTCATCGCCAAGTCCACAGGAGGACGCGAGGAAAACCCCTCGATCGGAGTCGTTGGGCTCGGGCGCACACTTCGCAGGGGCGGGCCGCACGAAGGTGTTTGCCTGGCTCCTGGCCGGCGAATTCTTCCGAAAGCGTGTGACTTTGGATGAAAACCGCGGGAATCGATGGACTGGCTCATCTCCGCCTGGCTGGTTGGATTGGTTCCTTGGTTGGCTGGCTGCACTATCAGCGAAAGAACTGCCGAAGGAAATCCTCCATCCTCCGCTATCCAAACATGGTCAAGACGGTCAACTCCCAGTGTGCGAGACTTCTACATCTCCATCCATATACCACCAGAAAATGCAGCATTGTCTGTGAGTGCTGCCAATTCTGTGCTCGGCATTTAAAGGAACACCCAAAGAAAGCTAAGATACCCCAAGACACCCCCAGGTGAACATTCTTGACCACAAGATGCCATAAGGCACCATTCGAACACAAAGAAAACCCCAACCATTTTCGTCATTTTAAGATCCTTTCAAGTGCACCAACCCCGACCCTACCTGTATTTTTTTTGGCGAGGACGAACAAAAAGTTCCTGCGGAGCAGTGTCCCGAAATGTGGTTGGAGGAAGAGAGAAAAAAAAAAGGAGGAGGAGCCAAAGGGAAAGAACGAGGAAACCGTTGCTCTTTCGACCCTAAGAACCCCCCCCCCTCCCGGCGCTCGCTCGTCGGCTCGTCCGCCTGGCGGTCGCGGCCGCCAGGCGTCGCGCCGCGGCGGCCTGGGTGGCCTGAGGCACCTGCGACCAAAGTCGGTGGCTTTTTACCGGGTTGCGGCTCTGAGGGGTTGGGAGCTGAGGGGTTGAGGGGTTGAGGGGTTGAGGGGTTGAGGGGTTGAGGGGTTGAGGGGTTGAGGGGTTGAGGGGTTGAGGGGTTGAGGGGTTGAGGGGTTTGAGGGGTTGAGGGGTTGAGGGGTTGAGGGGTTGAGGGGTTGAGGGGTTGAGGGGTTGAGGGGTTGAGGGGTTGAGGGGTTGAGGGGTTGAGGGGTCGAGGGGTTGAGGCTGGAAGGAGGGTGGGGGTGGGCGGGGGGTTGAAGGGTAGGGGAGGGGGGGGGGGGGTTTAACGGGTTGATGGCTCCGGAATGTGGGCCCGTTGGAGGGTCAACCAATGTTCGAGGCCGTCGAAATGCGTCCAAGTTGGATCTGTTTATTTGCAAGTGGTTGGCTTCCTGCTCGTCTTGATTCTTTTTGCAACCGTTCAAGAACAAGTCTCGTATCTTCCACACCAATTCTAAGTTGAATCTTCACTTGGCTTCCTCTCCATCAATCAGTTCTCATCTTCTGAGCTTGTTGATCCCTCGCACAATGTCATCAACATAGGTGGCCTTTTTGGAAAAATAGATGGCCCTGGTAAATGGAATAAACCCCAGCTAAACCAGGAATCGCCCTCGATTTTTGAAGCAACCCAACCAAAAAGAACACCTATGGTCATCCACATTTCGCGGGACATGTCATACATCCCTCAGGAGCTCCTGCTCTCAGATCCCTTTGTGAGGGTGCCCATTTGGGGATTGGCTGAAAGGAAACCTGGGGTAAACCACCCTTTTGCAGGGTTCCCCCATTTAGGGATTCCGTTCGGTTGCCCTGACCAACCCCAAAAAGGGTACCGAGCCTCCAATTGTACCTTTCAAAATGCTGCGTTGTTCGGGTTCGGGACCCACTAAAGTTGGCCAACGGCCCACCAGTGGAATGCATGATGCATAGGCCTTCGTAGGCACGAACATGGCGCTTGCGCCTGCCCTGGACGACCATAGGAAAAAGGGGCGCCCACCAAATTTGAAAAAATCACCCCACCCCCCCCCCCCCCCCCCCCCCCCCCCCCCCCCCCCGCAAAAGTTGTTGCACCAAAAAAAACATATATATATATATATATATATATGTATATATATATATATATATATATGTGTGTGTATATATATATATATATTTCTTTTTAAAGCTCCCGATCGCCCAGACCTCGCTCTCCCGATTCAGGACCCGCTCAACGACGCCGCCGGCCGAAGGACTCGACTCCTCGCGCGCCTGGCGCAGCAGGCCGTCGCCGAAGTGCACCTCATGGGCCCGCGGATCGATGGTGCCCACCTGCGAAGCGTCTCGGGCCGCCCGAGAAGCCGCGCCCGCGATTCGCCCGCGATTCGCCCGCGAAGCCCGAGACACCCGACTTTCCGACCTCCGGTGGCCGTTGCTTTTCATGGGGAAACCAAGGGTTCTTCAGGAAAAATGGTGGCTGTTCAGTGGAAACAATGGGTTCGTGGGAGATGGTGAGATGGTTGGTGATATGGCTGTGGGTCAAAAATGCCTACCCAAAATGGAAGCCTGGCAAATGGAACCAAAGACTACAACCTGCGGTGCCTGGTGGTTTTATTTTGACCCATACCCATATGGTTCAAGGGAAACCACTACCCAGCTTTTGTAGCTCGAGCCCTTGGAAGGTTTCTCGGAGATTCGTATGGCCGAAATTGAAGTCAGCCAACCAAAGTAGGAGGCCGAAGAATGAAATATTTAGGCGGGCAAAGGCCGAATTTGAGAACTTGTGAATTAGGGTGGCAGTACCCCACAGTATGGGGGGCTGGAATGCTTAACAGCCAAATTTGGTCATGATTGTAGGAGTGCATCAGTAGTGACGATTGAGCCCCTGCAGATTCACTTCAGATTTAGCGCTCCCCTGCAAATTGACGGAAAGCTCCTTTGACAATCGGACCCCCCTTTTGATGTTCCTTCTCGAATTTGAAGGAGAGTTCGGAGGTGTCACACACAGACTTCACATGCGTATAGAAGAGGTAGTCAGGCTTTCTGTGTGTGTGTGTGTGTGTGCTGATGCACCAACTCGTCAAATGGGTGTTCTAAAACAGGGGATCTCCAACACGGTGGTTCCCTGTGGTTTCCCTCAAAAACTACCCCAAAAGGAACCCCCCAGCAAAAAGGGACCCACCCAAATGAAAAGCAACCACAAAATGCTCAACCAAGACTCAAACTTGAAACAGCTTCTTATCCACCAGGCGCCAGCGCTGTGGTGTTCTAGCCTCAGCCCTGTCCGGAATCCATCCGAGCTTGGTAATGTTGGAGCCGCAAAAATCTAGGAAAAGCGGGTGCCTGCCTTTCAGCTGGGATCCTCAATTCCCCTTGGCTGCTGTCAAATACTCACAGGCTGTTCAGAACAGATCTTGACAAGTGCAATCTGGACCCATCGGCCGAATCACAAACCACTCCAAAGGATCCCCGCTGACGCCTGCCCCTTTGCCTGGGCTTCCCCCCCGGCCTTCATTCGCGAAAGCCATCCAGCACCGAACAGCTTCCATGAGGCATGGCTCTTTCGAGCCAAGAACAGCATGCTTTCAATAGCAGGGCAAACCCCTGGAGTCAGCGAGTCATTCGCAGGTCACAACCTCTGACCCACCCGCATCGGAAACATTCGGAGCCTTTCAAAGGACACTCCAACTTCGTACAAGAGCGCTTATCATACAAAAACCCGCATGGTGTCTTCCTTTTGATTGAAGGTGTTTGGTGAGTTTCTTACGTTGATGACATTTGAGGTTTTGAAGAGGAAGAATAATATCGCATACGTGTATAGAGATATATGCGACATAGACGTAGATGTGTAAAACGAACTGTGCAAGGATCCATGCATCCAGTCTTGCAAACATCGAATTCTTTGGCAAGACGGACAGAGATGCGTGTTCAGGAGTCCATAGGAGCGACGGACAGATTGTGTACACTTGTTGCACTGCCGACATATTACACATTGCTGGTGCAAGCACGGGGGAGATCTGCAAAGCCTGCAATTGCCTCTTGTCTTTGCAGCTCCATGTGAAAGCCTGTTCACAATCTCACTCCAAAAACTTGACTGCCGAGCAAACAAATGGAACATGTGTTTGTTTCTGGAAGCAACCCATCCCAAAAAAAAATACCCTCGAAAAATCATACCCCTATGCGTCTCGGTCTCGCTGCGATGGCTGTTCTGGGCGGAATCGCACATGCAATGGCACGGTCAGCGCACGAGTTCAGACTAGGGCAAGATCTGTACGAGTGCCTGTTTCATCATATGTGCAATGCACATGCTGCAATCATCAGATGACTTGCCAGAGTAGTCACATCGACACCAAAAGTGCTGGGGCAATTACAAGGACCTCTGCCGGTTGTTTCCATGTTTGACCCCTCTCCCTTGCTGCCGTTGCTCTTTTGCGCGGAATCGATGAGCTCTCGGACAGGGCTTGCCTGTCCACCGGCACCCAAAGGGACCTAAACAAAGCTCGACCTCGGGTCGAGCACGAAAATGTATGCGCACCTGGAGGACAAGTACCCTCTTTCCAACAGCGATGAGACCTAAGGGGAGGCTTTCTGAGAAGAGTTTCCTCTTGGCCCTTGAACCTACCTTCTTCTGGCCTCACTGTTGTACCATGATCAAAGTCACCCCCTAAGTGGTGGGTTCAAGGGAAACAACCGAATCCATTTACTGACTTTGATAACCCCCAGAAACCGTTCAAATAATGACCCCTGTTCTGGGGCGTTTGGACCACGGTGCACCGGGTGCCCTCCAGCCGCAGTTCGCAGATCACTCGGGGACTTTGTGTGGAGCTGGCCACGCCCCGATGGCTTCAGGTCTCGCTGCACCTGGGAGCCGGTGGACAAGCCGTGGCATACCCAAACTGGGATCATTCAGACGTGTCAGCTGAACAATCCAGCAAAGGAAACAGGGTCGATCTGGGATCGCAATGCCATCAACCACACCTTGCGCCCAATGCACAAAAACCAGAAAGCCCAGAGGCCATGCGGAACCTCGCAAACCCAGACCTCTGCACCACCACCCCTCCAGGCACCTGGAGCCCAGTTCGACGCTGAACCGCGCGTTGGAAAAAGGCCAAAGGACCCACATGGCTGTGGGTCAAAATTTTGCATTTCTGGTTAACATCAAGATAGCTGGCAAATGGATGTTCATCCACCCCAAAATGGAGCCATAGGTTATGCCCCATGGCCACATGGCGAGCTCGTTTCCCCCCCCCCCCGGAGCCGTGAGCTCATCTCCCCACCTCCCCTCCCGCCCCCTCTTTCGCTGGGGTTCCCCGCGGCAGCACCCACGGCGCGTTGCTCAGCACCGGCAGCAGCTCCTCGCGCCGCTCTCCGCTGGGAGCGATGTCCGGCGGGTCGGCCGTGGTTTGGCCATGGGTCAAAATGCACGTACCCCATCCCAATCCCCACTAAAATAGGTTCTAAAATGGGTGCCAAAATGGTACCATTGGTGTTGACCCACAGCAGATTCGAGTCACAATCAAAACCCGGTACTAAAATTGGCTACCCAGCACCAGGTAAAGAATTAGGAAGGCGGCTGCAAC